ATAAAATCGACTTTTGTCAAGGAGGAATGGGGCAAATAATATCGGCGCACTACTGCTGAGCGAGCGCAGTCGTTTAGCTTGTGCGACACTGAAACTCAAGCCACAAATTTGCAGGAACAAATGCGCTCCCTCGCTGCCAGGTAAGTTATTCGGAATGTTTCGCATAGCAAAATTATGCCTACATTTTATTCTCTCCTCGGTTTCAGAACTTATTACTCCAATAACTTTAAACGCTTGTTCAATGACTTTTTCAGAAGTGCTGCTTATGACGCCATATATCAACTGATCGAATATTTCGTCGGCTGATGTCCTGTTACGAATAAGAGAGGCGTAGTTTTGGACGATTAAGGAGTCAAGAGGTTCTACGTGAACCAAAGGGATTTTCAAGTCAGCCATATCCATAGAAGGCAACGAATACATACTTGCACATGCTCTGTCGCCGGCCACAACTGTGGAGAGGCCGCAGGACTCCGTCTTTTAGCACGAGCTCTTCGGGGCACTACAGGGTAGTAGATAGGTTTTTGTTGCAGCACAACCCTGCCAAAACATGGCCCCGGGGGCCGGACGGGGCTAGATGGGGCCAGGCCCCGTCCAAATTTTAGTGAAATTCAATCCTTTCTAATCACGTCATTCTGCATTATATTAGACAGATTTTGCTCTATTATCGTTAAATATAAGCCTTTCAGCTTGTTTAATGCGTTCTCAGACGAATAAATTCGAGGGAAAGTAATTTTTCACAAAGGCAAATATTGGTCTTGATTAAGTGGGTCATGTACACGCCCACGTGAAAGGCATTTTTACGCTGACTGTGAGCACGCCAGATCGATACAGCTGTAACGGGCCTAAACGAGACGAGAACCAATAACGCTATGCTGTCCCTTCTGGTCCCCAGTAAGAAGGAAAGACGGGTTCCTAAGGGGATTTTGGGGATTATTTATAAGCGTCAAAAGACGATATTGGGAGTTCGGGAACAGTGGGATGTCCTATGGCGAGGACAGGCCTGTTTGGATGCAAGCCTTGTTGGGTCCGGGCGGCGGAGACGATGCAGGAGCGGCGGTGGCGTCCAGAAGGAGTCCTCCGGTCCAAGGGTGGTTAACGACAATCCTCCTCGGTTTTTATAGGGCCTCCAGACAATTGGGATAGGTTCACATAAAAATAGACCAATGGGTATGCGTAAATCAATTGCAAGAATATTAGAACGTAAATCGTAGCCAATAGGATCTTCGGGAGCGTTTTTATTGACATTCTGGCCTAGACTGGTCTCTACTAGATTGCTGATAGGCAAACCGAAATACCCAATCGTTAGTCGAAAACTATTGATTTAATTTGGCGAGATAAAATGAGATCGACAGTTAAAAGTGTCCTGGACCAATAGAATTGGAGAATCTAAAATGGCAAACTTGCGTGTGCCATCCAATGGGAACGCCCAGCTTTGTACTAGCAATTTGTTACCCATCTTAGCCTAACTACCGAAAATTAGGAAACTTTTGCTCCATCTTTACATCACTCCCTCCTCCAAACAGACGTCGCTGTCCTCAGCGATTGCTGTGTCCTCGTTCTGACTGATGTCATGGAGCATTGACCTGTGGTCTTCCACATTGTGCCGCCCGTCGCTAAAGGGTACTTCAAACTCGTCCAACCCTAAAGTGGAATTTCAATGATCCTTCTAACTTGGTCACGATCGACATCACAGACGGTATTTGCTTGATCTTCGGGACCGTATGCATCGGGTTTCTCTCCCAACTTTAGTCGATTAAAATGAACGGTTATTTCCGCCGCGAAAGGTCGCTCGCGGTCCTGAGTCACATATGTGGTGTCAGAAATCACCTTGGTTACAGTGTACGGACCAGACCAGTCTAACACAAATTTACTCGGTATTCCTTGCGGGGCTGTATGTTCTCTGAGCCATACGATATCACCAACAACATATGGGCACCCATAGGCAAGTTTGTCATAATGGTCC